TAATAGTCGATTCACGGATTCGCCCGCTTCATTTTGGTTACTTCATTTTTTCTTGATTGGCAAAAAACAAAAACAATTTCTAGCCTCAGAATCAATTTAAAAATTCTTATATTTTAGCCCCAACAGTTGAAGGAAGTCCCTTCTCTTCAGAGCTGTAAAGTTTTTCCATCTATCAATGCAGTGGTTTGATTAAAAGTTTTAAATTACTTTTAGTAATTGCTTGAATTACAAATAAACCAGCCTGGTATGTTGACTTTATGGTTCCTATCATACATGTAGCATTTAGGGCTATCATAGGATACCAAGGTCTGTTTTTATTTTTTTTTCGCCCCATCCTTCATATTTTTTCTGAAAAAATTCAAGAACCAAGAAATCAAATTGGTGTGGCCTTATCTCAAAAGGCTGCTATGATAACTGATGAAAAGAACTGGCCTGGTCCATAACCTACCACATAACTGCACCTTAATCTCACAGGGACATTACTTACGCATGTATGTTATTACATGTATAATGTTCCTGTATATCTCATTCAAAATAAAGGCTGATATGGAACATACAAAATTTATGTAGAGCCAGATGGAGCAAAATTATATAATAATTGTGTATGTGCCTTCTGTCATTTCTCTTTAGCTGTTAATAATTTCTAAGAGCACCTGTTCTTTAGGAGAAACATTGAGCAGTCTGACTTCACCTGACCTTTCCCAACATGCCATATTCTGTCCATGTGATGAGTTGTGACTGATGTAGAACATACCATATAATTTTCATAATGGGGTGTATACATCATCCACGTGTGACAAACATCTTGATTACCATCTCAGGGTTAAACTCTTGCAGAAGAATGACACAGACTGCTAAGACGAGTCCATACCAGTCACCAACCCAGGAAACTGGAAAGCTGACCTGGCACTATCTGTATGTAATACTTTCTAAATACATTGATTTAATTTTTCATTTTCCTCTCTTAATGTCACATGGCGTAGAAGTTAATAATAGACATGAAGGTAAGAGAGAAAGTAAACTTTTTAAGGTAAATCATGAAATGTTTGTTTTATTTTCATGGTGACCCCTATTTTGAAATCATGACACTAAAATATGCATAAATAAATGAATTTCCAGTAGCAAATAAGGAGGAAAAACTGTCCACAGTGATTCGTACCTTGCAACAAGTAGAATGTTACAGTTGGGATGTTTAGAATGTAAATCTACAGTGGTATGTACCCAGCAGATTGACAGAGATTCGTGTAGGGCATTATCTGGGGAAGGAAGGGCCGAGGGGCACAGGAGTTAGCCGCATTCCGAGTGACAGAAGTTCATGAGGCGCTACGAGGTGTGCCCTACCATTAGCCAGCTGGTCCGGCCATTTGAATTGCAAAGTGAGGAAGCTAAGGTAGTTATTGTGACATAACACAATCAGTGGTTGGGAAATATAACAGAGTTACTCTTTTTTTTTCTTCTGTCTTTCCAGCTGAAATGACTGCCTTGCACTGGTGGTTAGAAGTGTTTTTGAACTGAGTTTCTTACATTTGTACATGTATGTGTAACCATTTTGTCTAGCCACAGGTCAGCAAATAGATGTTTGTTTAACAGCTGTCATTCTCACATTAGCCACTCTTCCAACTAAACACCTGCAACATCTGAAAAGGAGAGGCTGCTTCCTATCATTCCCTAGTTTCACTAAACACATGTATTATCAAATTAACACCTTGACTTAAAAACTTCTTTTCAGTCAGTTTCTTCATATGAGTCCATGATATTGCATTGAAGCTTTTTCTTCCACAATAATGTCTTGATTAATTGTTTCAAAATCAACAGGTCTAGGAAGTTCTGAAGGAATATATTTTGTTCAGGTGATTGTCACAAACCAATCGTAAATGTAATTCAGATGCCTTCAAGCATTGATCAGGTGGTCCCATAAATAAGACACACAATAGGCTGCTGTTGTAATGATGTCTTCTGCTCTGATATACAACTGTGCTTACATGACTTTAGCCCTCATTACCTATGGATTACTGCACAAAGTGGGATTTTAAGATCAGTTAACCTTGCACTTTGACATGGTTGACAATTTCTTGTGTGTGTGATTACTATTACTTCTGTTGCTTATTACTGTAATTAAGTGTGCATAGTAGACAATATCTTGTTCCTTCTGTCCCGGTCAAATCAGAGGAACTGTGAAAAGATTTACGGTTGTATAGTTGTACCATCCACCCATCATTATGCCAGGATGATATAGCAGTGTGCAGAGTAACAAAATGGACTTCCGGCTGTAGTCAGAGGTCAGCTATTGTTCTTTGTCAGGTGCGCCAACAAAGGCAGGTACAGTACGACATGATGTGTGCCTGCACCAGATGTGGGTGTTGTATGGCACTTGATGCCGCAGGTGAATTCTATTAATGAAACATTTACAAAGACCCATGAATTAGGATCATTGTGCTATTGCTCTAAGTTCTACAAGTCATGTTGGATTTGTATGTCAGACAAAAAAATAACTATATCAAAGACAACTGAATTACATGGGTTTTAGTTTCTTTAAGCTTGACTGCATAAAACAGGCAAGATACTTAATTTGGATGCTGGTACGAGAGAAACATACGTAGATCTGTGGTCAACCTTTCTGTCGCAAATACCTCGAGCTGCAGAAAGCCCTGAGATCATGCCATTCCTTCCCTTCTCTCCGATTTATTGCCATCAAGTACGCTGTCTCCTGGGAGATGGGATCTGCAAGAATGTGGCAAATCTTGCCGGAAGGTGCAGGTGTGTCGATTTACAAATTCACGGCATTCTGCTGTAGGCCCAGGGCCATGTTTGTCGCCAAACCTCCATTTGTTGTCGGGCAATTTTGACAATCAAGCTCAAGTTAGTGACATGTTGTGAAAAGAACAGAGGAGGACAGATGACTATCTTTGAAATGGACTATTTACCCAAGGAGCGAGGGGAAACATTGTTTGAAGATTCTTTCAAAAACCTTGAGATTTCCAGAACATCTTAAGATTTTTTTTTAGTTTCAACGATGTGTGACAACTCCTGGGGGTCATTATGATCTGTACAGTAACAAGGATCCAAAGTTTTCCGCAAAATAAAAGCTGAAAACAGTTGGACTGAAAAAGTGCAAAGTTTTTTTTTTAAGCACAAAGCTGAACTCCAACATCCAAGCTGGTCTTGAGTGTATAGTTATTAGCAAGACAGGCTTTTGACCATGGCCAGTGTACTAGTAACAATTTTTTCCTGATGAATTTGCTTGGTGGAACGGGCCAAGAGACCACTCCTATAAGGCACTGATCTAAGTCTGGTTTATTTTTTTTTTTTTTTTTTTTTATTT